AGGAATAAAATTCTGTCCTTTAGCAGTCTAAAAAGCCCTTAGCTTGGCTGCTGTACTGGAGTTCCCATCCCAGAAAGGTGCACCCCTGGCCTTACATGACTCACTGACTGTGGGAGTTTTATTTCCTCCTGTGTTATTCTTAAAAGAAGCCCCACTGCCTCGAACTTCCACTTCACTTCCATCTGCATTGTCTCACACGCTATTACTCTTGTGCAGCTTTAACATTCTCTGAAGCAGCACTCTAAGATGCTTGCCCAGGCTGTTTACATTATCTGTTAAGTTAATTATTATTTTAGCTACTGTTGTGGTTTTAAAGGTGATTTTGAATAGTCTTCCTCAACCTTATTTTTACCATAACTGTTATTTTGGTGGTTGTGATTTTGCAGAATGCATTTATCAAGCATACAGTCAGCCCTCTCTATCTGCAGGTCCCACATCCCTACATTCAAACAAGCTCAGATGGAAAATATTCAAAAAATAAAAAATAACACAACAATACAAATTTTAAAAATAATACACTGTAACAATTCTTTACATAGCATTTACATTGTATTAGGTATTTTAAGTAATCTAGAGATGATTTAAAGTACACATGAGGATATACATAGGTTATATGCAAATACTACTCTGGTTTATATAAGGGACTTGAGCATCCATGGATTTTGGTATGGAGGATCCTGTAATCAATCCTCCACAGATACCAAGGAATAGCTGTATTATGTACTAGCACGTTGACCATCTAAGGAATACAGTATCTACACAAAGTAGTTATATTCTTCTACTATAGAAAGGATAGCTCTACATAGGAGTCATAACAAAATAACTTTTCCATGTGAACCAACATAAGTTTCCTTATTAAAATCTTTTACGGTTTAGAAATCTAAACCTGATAAGTTTTTCAAAGGTTTTACTAGATTTTTCAAAGCAAAAGTAGTTTAATGTCATGTCAAAGTGCTCATTTCTCATAGGGCAGGAGGAAATTTGAAACTATATCTAATTCCAAAAAAGAAGCAACAGGACAAAAATTTTTACTTTGTGTATTTGTTGCTTTTAGTCCTTTGTACAATTACACTTCTAATCTGTGTTTATAAGTATAAATTAATTTCCATGATCTTAACATTGGACAATATTAAATGATTTTTTCTTACCTGATTCAAAGCAAGCAAAAAAGTCATACATCAAATCAAGAGTATCAGTGTTGATTTATTTAAATTAAAAGATAGCCTTCACATAATACTTGACCTTTCCCAAGTTGAGGTTCAAAAGGAAGACCATCAAACATAAAAATTTAGGGATCTCAATCATTTGATGCACAAAATTGTAATAACAAACAAAGAAAAAAGAAATTTAAAAACCTAATGTTAAGTGACTAGGGTGCTATAGACTGGAAGTTCCTCCAACAGGATTAGCTCTTTTAAGTATTTTAAGTCCAGTGAACTTGTAATGCTTCCACAGGTTAGTAGCTGCATAGGCTAATTTCAGCTGGCATGTGCTTTTATAAGTATGCAAAAACACAGGGCAAGGCATGCATTAAAATGGGATAATAGCACATTTCTGGAACATGTGAAGCATGAGGAATGATGATGCCTCTGGCATCCATGAAGTATGCCTCAGAGTCAGTGATTTTCTGTTTTGATAAGTAATTCTGTTATACTGTATTTGGGATAGAGGAAAATCAACTTTCGAAATATAAATCTTTCATCTTAATCAATGTTCTTTATAGTTTCAATTCTATCAGTTTACTCGAATGTAATTTTTAATTCCAGGTGGCCTGGAAATAATTCAAGGCTAAATAGGGTCTTAAAAAATGTGTTGATTATTTTTTTATTAATGCAAATTTAAAAGTAATTATAAAATACTGTCGATCATAAGGAAAATGTTATCTAGTACAATGGAAGAGGTGACAAAAATGCAAGAAAGGAAGAAATCAACTTTAAGAATAATACTCTTACCACCCCCAAAAAAGACCAAAGGAAGAATTCCTTGCATTACATATGCTTTACAGGTAAATAACTTTATCTAATCCTTCTAGATAAAGGGTGGGCATCTATAGGAGGTTTGAAATCATCAGAAGGAAACTCTTACTAAAATGACAAATAATTATCATATCTTATAGAAACATTAAAAATGGCAAGAAAAATATACTTTCTAAATATGCATATTATAATCCTTAGCCAAAAAATTTGAGTTACAAATCATAAGTATCAAAATGTTACAGTTTTTAATAAGTATTAATTAAGTATGATAAGTCAAGGAAATAGTCTGCTTTTATACAGTACAAGTGAGAAAATTGAGAAAAAAAATTGAAATATATAGTGTAGCCACACCCAAAATCACTCTGGTTGTCTAAACCTAGTCCTGCAGCTAAAGGCATGTTATTTATTATCTTGGCCCTCCTCAAACATGGAGTTACAGTTTAGATGAAGTGATAGGATCATCCCAATAGCATATTTAAATTCACAAATGTGGAATTCATGGTATTTTTGTTCTTAGGTACTAACAAAACAGAACCTTTAGAGATATTATGTGGATATCTCATCTTTTGACAAGATATACAATGAAATTGTTTTAAAGCACATTTCATAACATTTTTTGTCTGAACATGAGTTCATTTTAATAGTGTAACATTGGAAGCAACTGAATGTGTAAGAGTAGGCAGTTTAACTCATTCACGCTATTATGAGTGTCAAATTACATCCCAGGCACTGTGCTAATTACTACTATTATAACAAAGTTAGTCTCTGTTCTTGCCCTCATGTATGTTACATTCTGGTCAAAAGACAGATCATGTGGGAGAGTGATATAAAATTATATCATACATCCAAGTACTAGTTATTGAGTGTATTATGGTCTCTATTTCTAGAAGTTTGTAGCTTGACTGGAGAGGTGCACACACACAAAGAGTAACAAAGTAATAAAAAAATTACAGCCTATATTGAATGTATTAGGAAAACAAATACAATGCTGTGATAGATGAGGGGCTAGGTGAGCAAGAGAGAGAGAGACAGAGACAGAGAAAGAGAAAGAGGGAGAGAGAAAGCAAGAGAGAAAGAGAACACAAAGTACAATGGTTAAAAGTGCTGATCCTGGAGCTAGACTGCCTACGTTTGAATCCCAACTCTACCACTTGCTAGTTGTGTGACCTTCAACAAATTACCTAACTTTTGTGTATCTCAGTTACTGCAGTAAATAGGAACTGAAACCTTTACTAAAGATTCTTGAAAAGCAAAGTTCAAAATAGGAGAGAGAAGTATCAGGAGAAGAAACTCGAGTTTCATCTATGGCCGGAGACAAAAGAGTGGAACACATTGCCTAACATTAGCATGAAAACCATCCTTGTTTTCTTTTTTTAATACTCTAAATAATTAACATAGTTTCTAAGCAATTAATATGGTTTTTCTAAGAAGTAAGTGAGTTAATATTTGTGATGAGTTTAGAATAGTGCCTGGCCCAGAATAAGTACTATGTACTAGCAGAATTGATAAATCAAGTACCTAGTATGTGATTTTTTTCTATTGTCAAATTAATTCCAAATCTGACAATTCCATGATAAAGGATGTATACTTGGAGTGACAATGGTGTGCTGGAGCCAGTTCCTACTAGTCCATGAAAACTAATTGTTCTCATCTCTTCCCCAAACTCTGCTTTCAGTGACTTAAAACATTCCCCCCCTACAACTCTACATTCAATGCTAACTTGAGATCAGCCAAGGTAGGAGCATTTATACCATGAAATTAGTAATTTAGTAGAGTAAGGGGTTGTTGGAGTTCTTCCTAGTGCTTCCAAACTCATCTATATCTAATGTGATATATTTGTGACATTTCTTAACTTTTGAATAACCTCTAGAAGTTGACCAAAACATTTTTTAAATCTCTATCTGATCATACAGTAGCACAATTTCTCATTTTTCTCTTTAGAAAGCTGTATCTTATACAAATTGGCTATTAAAATTAAAACTACAGTGAGATATCATCTTAACCCAGTAAGAATGGCCATTATTAAAAAGTCAGAAAATAATTGATATTGACATGGATGCAGTGAAAAGGGAACTCTTATATACTGTTGGTAGGAATGCAAATGAGTATAACCTCTAGGGAAAAGAGTATAGAGGTTTCTCAGAGAACTAAAAGTAGACCCATCATTTGATCTAGCTATCTCAATACTGGGTATCTACATGAAGGAAAAGAAGTCATTATATCAAAAAGACACATGCATTCATGTTTATTGCAGCACAATTCACAATTGCAAAGATACAGAATCAACCTAAGTGCCCACCAACCAATGAGTAGATAAAGAAAATGTGGTATATATATATTTATACCATGGAATACTACTCAGCCATAAAAAAGAATTCAATTATGTTTTTTGCAATAACTTGGATAGAACTGGATACCATTACTCTAAGTAACTCTGGAACAAAAAACTAAATACTATATGTTCTCATTTATAAGTGGCAGCTAAGCTATGGCTACACAGAGGCATACAGAGTTGGTATAAAATGGATATTGGAGACTCAAAAACAGGGTAGGATAAGATGGGAATGAGGGATAAAAATTATCTATTGGGTACAATGCACATTTTTTGGGTGATGGATACACTAAAAGCCCAGACTTCACTACTACGCAATGCATTCATGTAACTGAAAACCATTTGTACCCCTAAATCTATTGGAATAAAATAAAAACTCAAAAAAAATAAGAAAAAGAAATTGGCTATTAAATTATAAAAATGGATTAATTACTTTTATTTAATTAGTTATGCTTTCCTAAGATTAAAATGCCCATCAATTTTTTTAAAAATCCAAACTTACACTAAAATAAAAGATTCCTAAAACCTTAAAGCCCTTTCATGATTTCCCTTTGTATAAGAATATCATATATATCCATGTTATAAACTCTGCTTTATTATATGTTTCCTTTTAAATGTTTAAAGTAAAAACAGAATTATACAAATGTCTTTCAAAATGTTATCACTTGGTTTACAAAATATTGGCTACTTACCTTTTGAAATATCTTCAATTTTTCTGCCATACAAATCATAAAGGTATCTGGCTGGCGAATTTAGATTCATTCTCATTGTACAAGTATCTAAAACCTACACAGAATAAATAATTTATTATGGTAAGTTCTGGTTAAATTGAATATACATTTAAAGTCCTTTCTATACTATATAGCTATTAAAATTATATTATAAAATAAAACTTAATAAAATTTATAAAATTTTCTAATATATGAAATGAAAAGCAGTTAAAAGTGTTGGATCCCAACTGTACTTTAAAACAAACAAACAAACACACACACACACACACACACACACACACACATAAGCATTGACAAGAAAGAGAAAAAGAAAGAAAATTAGTGGTTACCCATTCTTTAATAAATGATAGAATTTTAGAACTCTGAGAGAGTTTTATATTATTCTTGCTTCTTTGTATATTTTCCATTTATTTTATAATGGAAAGATATTATTATTTTTTTTTTTTTTTGAGACAGTCTCACTCTGTTGCCCCGGCTAGCGTCAGCCTAGCTCACAGCAACCTCAAACTCCTGTGCTCAAGCAATCCTCCTGCCTCAGCCTCCTGAGTAGCTGGAACTACAGGCATATGCCACCATGCCCGGCTAATTTTTTCTATTTTGGTAGAGACGGGGTCTCACTCTTGCTCAGGCTGGTCTCGAACTCCTGCGCTCAAACCATCTGCAAGCCTTAGCCTCCCAGAGTGCTAGGATTATAGGCATGAGCCACTGCGCCCAGCCGGATATTACTTTTTAAATTAGATTTTAAGGTACTTTTTTAGCTTTTAAATTCTTTCCAAATATCCTAAAATAAATTGTAAATATAGTCTGATCACTGCTCACCTTAATAACTAAAAACTGGACTTAATAATTATGTGTCAAGGTTTTCCAAGAGTATGAGTTTCAATGACTTTACCACTAATGGTTTCTAATATGCTCTTTTTTCAATATTTTTATATCTTGACCTGTTCTTGTTATTTTACATGTATCTCTTTGAACTTTCTGTGACAGTCATCTTTCTAACTTCAGGGAAGATTTAAACATGCATGAGTTGGAAAGAAAGTTCTACTTGTGAAGTGAGGAAAATTGAAGGAACAGAGGGGGTTGGGGAAGTCTCAGGTAATCTGAGGCAGGTGTTACTAGGTTTTCAGAAGTGATTCCCAAAACATGAAACTCACTATATTTATCTAAAATTAAAAAAAGATATGCCAAATCCAAGTTGAAAGCATTCTGTCATTCATTTTTACTACTCATAGCTATAATATTGCTTTCCCATAACCAGAACTATTACTGAAGGACAATGTTAATTATATGATTATCAATATAGTAAAAAGAACATCTTTCAATTGCTTAAACCATCTTTCAATTGCTGATATTACCCCATCTCCATTTTTGCCTACTTATATGTCTACTTTATAATTGGAGCCCATAATCCTAGTGCTATCTCAACCAGTTCATTTGTCTTGTGACAATGGACATATTTAAAGAGTTAATGTTTATACAGAGGAGAGTTGTACTTTCAGTCTAGAGAACAACTTTCAAACACTGTGACTGATTTTGTTTATCTACTTGCTGTATCAAAAGATGTGTTGAATTTTAAACAGCAAATATTTAGCAGACAAATTTAATTTAACAAATTGGCCTTTATTGGGCTATCTAAATCAGAGGTTCTCAGTCTTTACTCCAATCCATGACTAATAATGTTCCCATGTGCCATACTTCCATGGGCATTCACAAGGTTGTATGGGTCTTCTGCACACTAGCCACAATCCCAAGTGTTGGGCAATTCTTCAGAAACTATGTATTGCTGCTGTTTTTCTCGAAATCAAGAAAGCATACTTGTTCATTATTAATAACATTATGGGAATAATTTTGAACTCTTTAATTTATGAGGAAAAGATCATTCACAACATCAATGTTTTACCTAGTTAAATAACACAGTATTCTCAATGTACTTTACAAGTGACTGTAAACACTGTCAAGTAGAACAAGTCCATGGACCTCTACTCTGCCTATTTGGAGTGTATAAATGCAAGAGTTCATGTCCTGACAAATGCCATGCATGTGTCTTCATAATAATGCTCCCTAACTTGAAATAGTTGCTCTAATATCACTGTTCCTATCTTTCTCCAGCCCTCTTGCCCATGTGTAAGGTAATAACCCTGTGACTCTCTAAATGTTTCTCTCCCTGCCATCTCTTCCACTCCCTTGGATCAATTTCTTTAGTGACTATTGCACACAAGTTTACCTAGGACTACCATCGGATGGATTGAAACCTTTACTAAAGAACATAGTTTCTAAGCAATTAATACGGTTTTTCTAAGAAGTAAGTGAGTTAATATTTGTGATGAGTTTAGAATAGTGCCTGGCCCAGAATAAGTACTATTACTAGCAGATTGATAAATCAAGTACTAGTATGTGATTTTTCTATTGTCAAATTATTCCAAATCTGACAATCCATGATAAAGGATGTATACTTGGAGTGACAATGATGTGCTGGAGCCAGTTCACCTACTAGTCATGAAACTAATTGTCTCATCTCTTCCCCAAACTCTGCTTTCAGTGACTTAAAACATTCCCCCCTACAACTCTATATTCAATGCTAACTTGAGATAGCCAAGGTAGGAGCATTTATACCATGAAATTAGTATTTAGTAGAGTAAGGGGTGTTGGAGTTCTTCCTAGTGCTTCCAAACTCATCTATATCTAATGTGATATATTTGTGACATTTCTTAACTTTGAATAACCTCTAGAAGTTGACCAAACATTTTTAAATCTCTATCTGATCATACAGTAGCACAATTTTCATTTTTCTCTTTAGAAAGCTGTATCTTATACAAATTGGCTATTAAAATTAAAACTACAGTGAGATATCTCTTAACCCAGTAAGAATGGGCCATTATTAAAAAGTCAGAAATAATTGATATTGACATGGATGCAGTGAAAAGGGAACTCTTATAACTGTTGGTAGGAATGCAAATGAGTATAACTCTAGGAAAGAGTATAGAGGTTTCCAGAGAACTAAAAGTAGACCATCATTTGATCTACTATCTCAATACTGGGTATCTAATGAAGGAAAGAAGTCATCAAAAAAGACACATGCATTCATGTTTATTGCAGCACAATTCACAATTGCAAAGATACAGAATCAACTAAGTGCCCACCAACCAATGAGTAGATAAAGAAAATGTGGTATATATATATTATACCATGGAATACTACTCAGCCATAAAAAAGAATTCAATTATGTTTTTTGCAATAACTTGGATAGAACTGGATACCATTACTCTGAGTAACTCTGGAACAAAAACTAAATACTATATGTTTCTCATTTATAAGTGGCAGCTAAGCTATGGCTACACAGAGGCATACAGAGTTGTATAAAATGAATTAGAGATCAAAAACAGGGTAGGATAAGATGGGAATGAGGGATAAAAAATTATCCTATTGGGTACATGCAACATTTTTGGGTGATGGATACACTAAAGCCAGACTTCCACTACTACGCAATGCATTCATGTAACTGAAACCATTTGTACCCCTAAATCTATTGAATAAAATAAAACTCAAAAATAAGAAAAAGAATTGGCTATTAAATTATAAAAAGGATTAATTACTTTATTTAATTAGTTATCGCTTTCCTAATGAAAATGCCCATCAATTTTTTAAAACCCAAACTTACACTAAAATAGAACACATTGACTGACAATGGCAAGAAATCCATCCTGTTTTTCTTTTTTGATACTCCAAGTAATTAACAGTTTGTGTCTGACTAGCAGAATCCTCATATTGGTCACTTTCTTCCATGTGACTTTGTGCCCAAAGATTATGTTTTTACATAATCTTTGCCACCACCACCACTCTCACTATCAGAAATACTCAAGGGTGACAATTCAGTATAAATTCCTCCTTAGCCAAACATCTCTGAATACTATTAAGACTCTACAGTTGGTCCCACAGACACTAAGCAAGAGATAGTCTCCTCTTTACATTCCCCAAATTCTTTTCCTTTCCATTCTTTATGTTCAGTTCTCAATTTCTTCATATTATAAAGCTATTACTGTATTTATTTATAAGTACAATGAACTCCTTTGGTACAAATTATATTACCTAGTTACTAGTGAAAGTTCAAATATCTAAATAGCCTCCATATACTTTAACAATTAAACTAAGTGAAAATATGAACTATTTGAAAATAGTCCCATTTACTTCAACCAAAAGTTCACTTTTTTTTTTTTTAGACAGGGTCTCACTTTGTCATCCAGGCTGGAAGTGCAGTGATGCAATCATAGCTCATTACAGCCTTGAACTCTTGCGCTCAAGGTATCCTTCCACCTCAGCCTCCCAATTAGCTGGGACTACAGGCACATGCACCATGCCAGGCTATTTTAAAAATTTTTTTTAGAGATTGGATCTTGCTATGTTGCCCGGGCTGGTCTTGAACTCCTGGCCACAAGAGATCCTCCTGCCTCAGTCACCCAAAGTGCTGGGATTAGCAGGTGTAAGCCACCAGACCCAGCCATATATTCTTTCCAACATTGCTGCCTCCAAGTCTTTAAAAAATCTAATAACTCCACTTTATAAATCAAAAATTTCTCTTTTCATTTAACTAAAACATCATTAAAAATGTTTGTACAAGCCAAGTTTTAAGAATTAAATCTGTTTAAAAACTTACATTAGAAAATCAGATACCAAAAATTAGTAATACATCAACACTCATTCCTTCCTACTTGCAGAATGAAAAATCCTTGCAGTGTTTAAGCAATGCCATTCTTTAGTAATCATTTTCTCACAGTAAATTATCAATGGTATGAATTAGTATCAATGTAAGTCTCTGTCAAAAGCCCTGAAATGAAGCTTCTACTTGTAAGGTAATTCACATAGTTCATAATGAAAAATACTTAATGGTGCCATCTTGCTGTAATATTAAGGTTAATTAAAATAGCATTTCTACTAATCTGTACCTGTTAAGCTTAAAATAATTACTTACACAACTCACATTTTGTTAATTCCTTACAGCTTAGGTTATGGAGAACTCTTCTGATACTAAAATTTAAAATCATTATGCTGTAAAACTCG